CACCGTTTTTATCCCTTCCTGCTGGCTGGAATATGGATGTGGTGGCTAGAACGTGAGCAGCCATCCTGGACCAGAAGGTGGAAACCATGTATTAAAGATGGTGGAGTAACACAATAGGAAGAACCTGCATCCCTGATGACTGAAGAGCAGTATATACCCACAACTGACTGCTTATATCCAGATTGAGTTTATGTGACAAAGAAACAAGCTTCTGTGTTGTATAAGCCACCGGCATTGAGTTTTCTGCGGCTTGTTACCAAACCGAATCCTAACAAATACAGCTAGCTTCATTTTTGTTTTAGATAGTTATGTTTGCAGTAACAGAGACCCAACTACAGGGACTCAAACACATTCGAGATTCGTTTCTGTCTTGGATAGAAGACATCCAGACATAGGCAGCACAAGGCTGGTAAGATGGCTCGATGGTCACCAAAGACCCAGGCTTCTCTTCTCTTTCTTCTCTCCTCGGTTCAAAACTTCCATCCTCAAGATCATCATAGAGTCCAAGAAGACTGCTGCAGCTCCAGCTGTCACTTCTGCATTTAGGGTAATAGGCGAGAAGAAACAGGGGGAGACCAAAGGGACTTTTCTCAGTTCTTTGTCTACCTCTTAAGGAGTCTTCACACAAGCACCACCCACCAAATTCTGCTTATAACTCATTGGTCCAGAAATTAGTAACATGATCACAGCCAACTACACAGGAAACTCAGGAATACAGTCTTTGGTGGGTACAGTATTTGGATAGTATCAGGACACTGCTATTATGGAAAAAGGGAAGAATGGATATTGCAGTAGCCTTGAGAAGCCTCTGCCACACCTGCTAGGTATGCTTCCATGTCTTTTCTTCAACATTTCTATGTGCTTATGTTTTAGGCATGTATCTTATAAGCAGTAAGTAGCTACGTTCTATGTTAATCTATCTGACCAATATAGTCCGTTTATGTTTACTGTGATGCTAATATACTTGGATTTATTTGTAATATGTACTTTGTGATTCTATATTCCTTGCTTTTTCATGTTTTGTTTTTCTTTTATCTCCTTTTTCTGTCTTTTATTAGATTAAGGGTTCTTTTCCCCTTTTCTATTGGTTTGGAAGCTGTTGAATCTCATTCTGATTTTAATTATTAATTTTTTAACAATCATGCATGATTAGTCTAAAATTAATATTTTATTCCTCCTCCCAAACAATCAGGGGAGATTTTCTAATTACCTTCTTCTTAACTTACCTGTTATCCTGCAGTGTCTTAGCTTCAGCTTGTTTTAAACCCACTCAATACTCGTCAATACTAGTATGATTTCGTTTTACAGTAATGCTTGCTTGGATTTTTCATTGTTGACCAAGTTTCTTGCTCACCCCACTGCTGCTTGTATCCACTTCTTCCTTTTCCATGTAATTGTCCTCTTTAAAAAAAAAAAAAAAATTCTTTAAATTCAATTTAGTTAACATATACTGTAGTCTTAGTTTCAGGGGTAGAATTCAGTGATTCATCAGTTGTATATATATATAACACCCAGTGCTCAATCACATCACATGCCCCCCTTAAGGCCCATCACCCAGTTACTGCATGCCCCCACCCCCATTCCCTCCAGCAATCCTTGGTTTCCCGGAGTTAAGTGTCTATTATGGTTTGCCCCCTCTCTGTTTTTATCTCATTTTTCCTTCCCTTCTCCTGTGTTCATGTTTTGTTTCTCAAGTTCCACATATGCATGAAATCATATGGTATTTGTCTTTCTCTGATGGACTTACTTCACTTAGCATAATACCTTCTAGTTCCATCCATGTCGTTGCAAATGGCAAGATTTCATGCTTTTTGATGGCTGAGTAATATTCGTGTGTGTGTGTGTGTGTGTGTGTGTACCACCTCTTCTTTTTGTTTTGTTTTTTAATTTAAATTCAATTAATTAACATATATTATTTGTTTCAGGGGTCCGGGTCTGTGATGCGTCAGTCTTACATGACACCCAGTGCTCATTACAACACATACCCTCCCCATTGTCCCTCACCCAGTTACCCCATCCCCCCACCCCTCTCCCCTCCAGCAACCCTCAGTTTGTTTCCTAAGATTGTGAGTCTCTTATGGTTTGTCTCCCTCTCTATACCACCTCTTCTTTATCCATTCATCTGTCAATGGACATATGGGCTCCTTCCATAGTTTGGCTATTGTGGACATTGCTGCTATAAACATTGGGGTGCATGTGCCCCTTCAGATCACTATGTTTGTATCCTTTGGATAAATACCTAGTAGTGCAATTGCTGGGTCATAGGCTACCTCCCTACTGTTTTTAAGGAACAGGAGGAAACTCCATACTATTTTCCAGAATGGCTGCATCAGTAATTGTCATCTTTTTGACACCTCATTGAGTAGGTCTGGGAGTAGTGAACTCACTTGGGCTTTGCCTGGAAATATCTTTATTTTACCCTCATTGCTTCATGATATTTTGGCTGTGTATAATTCTACAAAGATGGGAGTTTCCCTCGAAACTTTGAAGATGTCATTCTATTCTTCTGGTTTTTGACGTTGCTGTCAAAACCTTCAGTCTGTCTGGTTATTGTTCCTTTTTTGGAAATCTGTCTTTCCTCTCTGGTTTATTTTAAGATAACCTCTTTGTTTTTGCTATCCACCATTTCACTGTGGGATGTTCAGGTGTACATTTATTTTTATTTATCTGTTCAGAACTTAGGTTTCCTGGATGTGAGGATCTGTGTCCTTGACGGTTTCTAGAAGCTCTTGGTTATCACTTTGCATATTGATGCCATTGCTTTTAGTCCCTTACTGTGATGAGATGCATGTTAGATCTGCTCATTCTGTCCTCCATACCTCTCAGCTTCTCTTTCGTATTTTGTTCATCTGTCTCTATGTGCTGCATACCGGGCAGTTTCTTCACAGCACAATTCCAGTTTCCTGATCCTTGTTTTAGCTGGTTTATTCTGCTTTTTAACCCTTTGTTCAGTCTAGAAGCTGCATTTGGTTCTTTTTATTTCTCCTAATACCTGTTCTTACAGTTCTGATTCCTACTTTTGTTTATCTGATTTCATCAATCTAATTTCACAATTGTTTAGATTGTTGTTCTTTTATCTCAGGTTCTTGCTTGTGCTGGTCTGCGGTCATCTTGTTTCCTTCTGCTCAGTCTAGCAGGATTGTGTCTTGTATGTTTTTTGTGATTTTTAGATGAGGAGCTGTCTTCAGGGTCTTGTTTTTTTCTCTTAAAGAATTCCTTGTGAAAAAAATTGACAAGTGTCCCAAGAGAACAGTTTTGTGTTTGTGTCTGCCATTTGCCCAGGAATGTCACCAGTCTGGGATTCTATACAAATTTCTGGACTTGACAGTACTCACCAAGTGAATTCAAACTTTGTGTGGGTGGGAGGTACAGCCTGTGAGTACAGGTTCTCACAGGAAACTTATTTATCCCCCTTGCATTTCCTTCCTTCAGTGGTGGGGGGGAGGGGGGAGTTCCTAGTAGGTGGGTTTGGAATTCTGCAGTCCCTAGCCTCTCCCCAACCCTGGAGCTTTTTACTGAGGTGCAACCCTTAGAGGGTCCTAGCCTCCATTCAGCGGGCTCCATGACAGTGTTCCTCTTTTGAACCCAGGCCCTCTCTCCTGTCCCCTGTCCATGAGTGTGTGTTAAAACCTAAGGCCACGGGATGCCTGGGTGGCTCAGTTGGTTAAGCGTCTGCCTTTGGCTCAGGTCATGATCCTAGGGTCCTGGGATCAAGTCCCGCATTGGGCTCCTTGTTCAGTGGGGACCCTGCTTCTCCCTCTGCCTGCCTCTCTCTCTCTCTCTCTCTGTCTCTCTCGCAAATAAATAAATAAGATCTTAAACTCAAGGCCAGAGCTGTTTTCAGGCATATCTCCCCCTCAGCTGCTTACGGCACCTGTGCTTGCCACGCTGCCCCTTCGTTTCTGGTGCATGGGACCTCTTCTGTCTTACTATTCAGCCATGCAATGAAAACATTGGAGTATATTTTATCCAGCATTTCTGGGTGTTGATGGCTGCAGAGTTTCAGTTTTCGCTTATCTCCCTCCTGTCTGAGCCCAAAACTCTAAATTAATCTCCCTAAGCCTCAGTTCCCTCCTCTGTAAAGTCATGGCACCTCCATCATGGGATTGTCCTGAGGGGTTCGATGAATAAAGCCCGTAAAATGCTTAGCATAGGGCCTGGCACACGGTAGGCAGTCAATAAATGGGAGTATCATCATTGATACTCCAGAAAATTTGGAAAGTTTGGAGAAGTATAAGGAAAGGAAATATCGTACTGTCCCCTGAAAATTATGGTTCATACTTAAGAGAAGTCTAACTTTATTCATATGTATATCCACACACTACTGGTACTGTACATACCACTTTGCATCTGCTTTTCTCGTTTGATTCGTGTCTTATTGGGGTGGGCCGCCATAACAAAATACCATAGAGTGAGGGGCATTTATTTTATCACAGTTCTGAATGTCTGAGACCAGGGTGCCAGCAAGGTCGGATAGGGGGAGGGACCCTCTTCCTGGCTTGCAGATGGCCGCCTGCTCTCTCTGTCCTCACACAGCAGAGAGACAGAGACAGAGGGAAGCCTCTGGCCTCCTTTACAAGGGCACTCATCCATCATGAGGGCTCAGCTCTCATGACCTCATCTAATCCTAATTGCCTCTCAAAGGCCCCACCTCCAAATATCCTCACACTGGAGGTTAGGGCTTCACATAAGAATTTGGGGGATACAGTTCAGTCGGTGGTAGTCACACTTCTCTACTGAACAGCTGCCCCTCAGCTTGGAAGCCTGTCTGGGATCTTTAACAAGAGCGGGGTTATCAGATTCACATTCTTCTCTGACAGAATCCACCTCAACAGGAAGGGGCTGATGACACAGTGAGGCCCAGAGAACCTGAAGTGTGTGTAGTTGGGGTTTGGGGAATCAATTCTGAGTGTTTCTGCCAGAGAGCAGCTCCCAGGCAGCCTCCAGGGGTGAGTGAGCCCATCTTCTCTGCTCCTGCCCCTGCACCCCTCCCCCTGCAGGTCGTCCTGATGGGACTGGAGCTTTCTCCTCCAGTCACTTTCCAGCTCCGGGCTGGCTCTGGACCTGTGTTCCTCAGTGGCCAGGAACTTTACGGTAAGTCGGAGCTTGGACCTGGGGAAGGTCTCAGAGTGCAGTGCCTAGCACCCAGGGCCAAGGGGGGAACCGGCACTCCAACGCTGGAGGGAGTCTTGAGTTATTAGCGAAAATCCCCAAAGGCAACGTGATTGCCAGTAGTCTGGACTGGGAGTCCTGCTTTACCCCCCTGCCTTTGTGGGCCACAGTCCCCTTGCCTGTAACACCAGGGTGGGGGTATACTTGGTTTCATCTTCAAAGAGCAGCTGGGAGAAATAAACGGGACATCCAGGAAAAAGCAGTTTGCGGGGTGCCTCATGCTACCGCACTGAGAGTGTCAGCTGCTGTGAGGCGCGTGGCTGGAGGGGCAGTACGGACCCCAGCAAGCCGCCGCGCCGCCGACTCTTCCTGGCCTCCTCTGTGCGGTTGTCCCTCTTTCGTCAGGGCACTGCCCTACCCCAAGACCCTGGCAGGCTCTCCTTCCCTCAGGATGAGGTCCGCATTCCTCAGCTGCCCCCTTCGCTGGCACCCTCCGCCCACCCTCCCCCTCGCCTGACTGCTTCCCAGCCAGAGCCACGGCGGGCCCCTTCCCCTGCCCTCCCCTGCCACCCCGGCTTCCCCGGGGGTCCAGGCCCTTCACCCCACCCGAGCCTCCACTTTGTCAGAGAGGCCAGAAAGGGTCTAGAGGAGGTGGCAGGTGCTGGCTTCCCCAGGGCAGCTCTGACGGCGAGACCCATGGCGGAACGGGAGCTCGCCAGAGACCCGGAGCTCCGCGGCCCTGCCCCCTTCCCTGCGCCGCAGACGCTGCAGACCTGTCCTGGGAGGAAGAGGAGGAGGCGCTGGACGAGGAGGAGGAGGAAGGTGACAGCGGCGAGGTTGACGACGACGAGGACGACGACGACGACGTAGATGTGTCCCTGGAGGAGGAGACCCCTCTTAAACAAGTCAAGAGGCTGGCGTCCCAGAAGCAGACCAGCGTCGCCAAGGTGAGGCAAGGGACCCCCAGAGGCTCCCCAGAAGGGGGCCAGGCCCGCCGCGGGCTGGGTGCCTGAGTGTGCGAAGCCTGGCCAGGGCCCGGGCGCTCAGCGGCGGGCCGTGCCGCTTGTGTTTGCTTCCCAGAAAAAGAAGGTGGAGAAGGCAGAGGAGGCCGTGAGGTAACTCTTTCCTTCTATTAAGTCGGCCGCGATCTTGTAGCGGGGGTACGTGGGGCTAGAAGGGGCCTGCCATGTGTGCACGCGGGGATGAGCCTCCTGCCGCAGCCTCTGGGGAAGCATTAAAGTATGCTTACCTTTTGCCCTAATTCCTTCCGAAGGAGCCCACCCAAAATATGGGTAAAATGATAGGCACTGAGATACGCATTATTCAAGTAACAGTAAAAAATGGAAGCATTCCAAATGTTGGCCAATATAGTATTTGATTGAGCCATGTCACATTTTCCCAATGGAATGTGACCTAGTGCCTATGAAGAATATAGCATCCTGGAAAGTGTTTATTGAATTTTTAGAGCAGGATATTAAGTCATACTCATGTTATTTCATATGCTTTTAGAAGAAAACAAAGCAAAAAACCCTGAAGGGAAACGCACCAAAATGTTAATACTGGTGGGGAAATGAAAATAAGTAAGTTAATCTCTGTTTGCTATATATTGTGCAACGTAGTTGAACATTACTTTTATAATGAAAAAGACCCATTTGTGATAAATAAAAGAAAGCAGATGGAAGGCTGAGAAGAACAAAACATCTTGTTTAAAATAAGACAGAGTCAGAGTGGTCCCCGGCAGGTGACAGGCGGAGAGGTAAATTCTCGGCAGCTTCCAACTCTCCAGGTCACAGCCCCCTGCTTTCAGTGTGGGCACTGAGAGAGTCTGGGCTACTGGTGTCAGGCTGAGTGCTCTCTTCTTCCCACCCACATCCCCTCTCCTTGCCCCACCCCACCCAATTCCAGACCCAGGCTTAAAGACAAGAGTCCTGTGAAAAAGGTGAGTACCAGGAGAAGGGGCTGGTCCTGGTGGGGGGGGAGGAGGGGGAGGGAGTGGGACACTGGCGCCCCCCCTTCTCTCCATAGGCCAAACCCACACTCAAACCCAAAAAGCCGGGATTCAAGAAATGAGGAGCCAGGACTGGCCTGGCTGCAGGGACCGAGGGAGAGCCAGCTAGAGCACATGCACGGTGGCCTTCCTCGGCGCGTTCCCCAGGTTCCCCCCTACGCAGCCTCTCTCCATCTGAGTCTGAATGGGATGGAGCTGTTGGGGGCGACACAAGAGGCCCTCACTCCCAACTCTCGAGTTTCAGCAGGACCTGGAGGGAAAAGCTCCAACCTCGGGGCCACAATAAAGTTTGCTTTGTCAGGACCTTGTTTCTGCCATCTGTTCCCAGGGGCCGGCCTTCTTGCTGCTCACACAGTGAGCCCGTGTGCCCGGCAGAGGGCGGCCGCGCGCCAGCTGGGTTCTGCTCTGCTCTTTCACCTCCCTTTACCTCCCTCTCTTGTTCTCAAACTCCCACCCACTCCCACTCCCACCCCCTCCAGCTTCGGGGAAAAAAACCAAGTGTCTCAATCCCTTGCCCAGCTTCAACTTTCTGCCCCTGGCCTGAGGGAGGGAGCTCCAGCTGGTGTGAGTCTTTCTGTGTCCACACTCGCTTGTGGCTGGCCCGTTTGCCACGTGCCGAACCAAGGGGTGAGAGCTGCCCACCCTGCCAGGAAGGGCCTTGGCCCGTCAGACTAGCCTGAGGATCTTCTCTCCTGGCCCTAATCACGTCTGTCGCTTGTCAAATACACAGGACGTCTATTGGAACCCCGGAGGAGGGATGCTAGTTGTGCGCTTCCAGGCTTGCCTCCTGTTCAGGGTGAGCTCCTGCTCGTTTGTGTGCAGATCTGTGTCAGGCAAGAGCCCGGAGGCCTGGACCTTCAAGGACACCCTCCCAGGCAGGGCACATGAGGCAGGCTTTACAGAGGCTCTAGAGGGTTTCTTACAGGAGGTGGACAGGTAAACACTCTTAACTCCCCTGTGAGGCATCCCCCAGGACAGTTCCCGGAGCCACAGAAGAGGGCTCTGCAGAGTGTTCGGGTGAGGCAAGGGGGGACTGGCAAGGGGGTGAATGACCTGGAGGCTCGGTCGCCCATAGTGACACACAGATGGCCCCCCACTTGGGCTTATACTTGCAGGGCCTCTGCTGGGCTTCTCCCTGGCCCTCCCCGACACCTCCAGCGGCCAAACCTAAAGTGGGCCAATGGGGAGATGGCCCTGCCTCTCTCCAGGATCCGGAGGCAGGGTCCCAGAAGGTGGGAGGTCTGAATGCCAGCATGGGAAGGTCAGCAAGCAGGCTTTTGTGTCCGTGTTCAGCCTCCGTTTCTCTCGAAGCCAGGAGAGACGGAGGAGGGTAGGGCTAGCATTCTTGCTGCTTGCTCTCGTCACCCCATAGGACAGATGTGGGCATCGCCCCACCCTCTAACAAATGAGAACGAGCCACTGACCTCTGGTCACCTGGACAGCAATTCACATCTGGCTCCAGGTGGGCAGCAGGCATTTCTCATGGCTTCATGCCACAGTGACACAGGGTTGGGGAGACAAATTCTTCACCTTCAAGTCCCCTCCAGCCTCATGGAAACAAAAGCCAACAACAAAATGTCAGTTACTGTCCTGTGCTTTGCAGGAAGTGAAACAGGCTAACTTCCAGGCTGGAGAAGTGCCGTTGGGAGATCAGAGGAAGCCCCTCAAAGGAGAGGAGTGACAAGAAGGGGGTGGCAGGCCCCAGGAGTAGCCGGCAGAAGGACACTTGTCCTTCTGCCCGGGCAGGGGCCAAGAATGCAAAGGGCCTGAGGCAGAGCAAGCTTGGGGGTCTGAACAAAAGAAGACTGCCATCATTGTAGGAAGAACGGGCTGGGCGTGCTGGGCTATGGGTGCAGCCTGGAGGGCCTCCCGGGACTCACTCCCGTTAAGCCCGGCTTCTCAGACCTGGAAGATGAGGCACAGAGAGGTGAAACAACTTGCCCCCAAGGCCACAGAGCTAGTGGAGGAACCAGGGTTCCCGCCAGGTAGTGTGGCCCCCAGCTCTTTAACCACTCCGGATGGGAGTGGGGAGAGCCCCGCAGAGGAGCGCTAGGAAGTCTCATGAACTGAAAGCAGTCGTTAGAATGCGGGCCGGGAGTTAGACTGGGCAGCCCCCAGCCACACAGGGACTTCTTCCCTCTGCCGCGGCCTTGCCCCAGGCCAACGCCCAAGCAGCCTGGCTGCGCCCAGGGTCTGCACGGAAGGGCCGGCGACAACTACACCGCCGACTTGGCCTCCGAGTGCTGGCATGTGGTAGGGACCAAGTGACAAAGATGAAGCGCTCCCCGGCCTGGACAGGTCAGGGTGCCTTTTGCCCTGCCCCAGCCCCAGCCCTTCTGTTTTTCAACAGGAAAAGGGTGAGCCGGGTCGAAGCAGGTGGTGACAAGTGGCAGGTCTGCAGGTGGGCTCTGTGGGCTCTGTGTCTGCACCAGCTGGGCTGTTAGAAAGAGCAGGCGTGAGACGCCTCAGTTGGGGGGTGTTGAACTTGGCACTAGGGGGTGGGGATTAACCAATGCAGCCCAGGCTACTTCTCACTTCCCTTATCACCTCCTGCCACCTCCCCCCATAAATGTTAATGAACCCTACCTTCTGCCTCCCAGCTCCCTCTAGTCAAGGGAGAGAGTGGGGCAAAATTTAGGTAAACTGAGTCTGGGCCACATAAGAGGGTCTAGGCCCCTTGCCCCCATTCTTTTGGCCCTTGATACTTTTCAGGGAGTGTCCACCTCAGTTGGTACTCATGGTGGCAGTTTTGACAGCATCGATAATGGCCATTTCCTTTTTTACAAATTAGCAAGCTGAGACCAGAGAAGTGAGGGGCTTGCCATAGGTCACACAGCCCATGGAGGACAGGGCCTGGGATGGGGATAAAATCCATGGAACACTCTCCATGCTGCCTCCCCTCTTGGAGCCCAGCACTGGCCTCCCCATAGGGGTAAAGGAGCAAGCTGAGTCAGAAAGCCAGGCCTGCGGGTGCACAATGGGAAGGGACAACGAGCAGATGTCGCACCATGAAACAGGCTACCCAGCCATGCCCCAGAGCCCCCTGGCACAGGCCCCTGGCTGAGCCCCAAGGCCAAGCTTGACTGCTGGCATCTGTTACCATGGAGACCCAGGCCTGGCTGGGGGGCTGGCCGGTGACAACAGGCCCCTCCCCCACTGATAGGAACCAGGCGCTCAGGCTCAGAAAACTGGGGCCCAGACAGCGCTAGGTGGCACTCCCCACACCTGACTCCTTATTTCATTCCATCTCCCAGCTCACCAGTCCACCCCACAATTCCAGTTCTGAACTACCTCCATGCATCTGCTCTTACCTGTCATCCCAGGATTGAGGGCAGCAGGAGGTAGCCCTGAGTACCCTGTCCGGGAGCTAGGAGCAGACACACATGTGCGTGAGGTCGCGGGCTCCCCGGAGAACAGAGCCAGAGCCAGCACCAGCCACAGCAGAGAGGGAGATTCAGGCATTTCCTCGGAAGAGGCGGAGTTTAAATCCTGCCCCAAATGGAACAAATGTGGAAAATGGAAATGATCAGGAACATCGGTCTGGGCAAAAGCAGAGAAGCAGGACAGGCTGGGGCATGCTCAGAAAATGATGAGCACTGGACCGGGAGTCTGGTTACCTGATGCCTTGTCCAAATCATGCCACTCGCTAGCTGTGAGACCCTCCCTGGGCCTCCTCAGGGACCAAATGAAGAATCTCTAAGAGCCCTTCCGGTTTTTTGTGGGGTTTTTTGTTTTTGTTTTTTAAGATTTTATTTATTTATTTGATGGAGAGAGACACAGCGAGAGCAGGAACACAAGCAGGGGGAGTGCGAGAGGAAGGTGCAGGCTTTTCGCGAGCAGGGAGCCCGATGCGGGACTCCATCCCAGGACCCTGGGATCATGACCTGAGCTGAAGGCAGACGCTTAAGGACTGAGCCACCCAGGTGCCCCGAGCCCTTCCAGTTTTGACAGTATGATTCCAGTATGTTTCCAACCCTGGACTCCCCCAGTTACAGGACTACCTCCGCACTTCCCAGGCCAGGTCAGGCTCAACAGGACCCTGAGCACCCCCGTGGGGCACCATGGGCGGAGCTGGGAGCCAGGTGCTGGAGCTGGACTGCTGGAGGTGGCCAGGAGGTGGCCTTGGGTCTTGTCTGGGGTGGGGGGAGGGGTGGCAGACAACTTTGTGGATTGATCTAGCTCAGGAAGGTGAGAAGGAGGCCTGGAGGTGAGAGTTTCGCCCTCCTGCTCATCTCTTTAGGTAAATACATCCACACCCAGCATTTCCCCTTCTCTTTCCATCCTGGGGGCACTTAGACCTCACAGCCCAGAGCTGAGGTGTGAGCGCTGCTTCCCGACGCGGGGGGGGCTTCCCTCGGAGATCCCCCTAAGCACGAGCCTGCTTCCACAGTCACCATCCCCCACCTTCTGTAGGGAAGGAACAGTTAGAGTCCCTGGTCACCAGCTTCTGGGACCTTGGATATCGCAGCCCGGAGGGCATGGACACAGCAGAAAGTCTCCAGATGAGATCCATGTGGAATAGAAAGAGCATGGACTTTAGGAACCTAGTCCCACCATCCACTAGCTGGGTCATTCTGAGCTAACTACCTACCAGTGTGCCTCAGTTTCTACAGTGTGTCTGTAGAATGGGGTAATACTGGCACGGTACAGAGCAGGGTGGGACCAGAGGTCATGTGAAGAGGCTGGTGGGCACTTCATCCCGGGCGGCTGCTGGTAGGCGCAGGGAGGAGGCCCTAGGGACAGCTGCTGCCCCAGACAGGACGATGGGTGAGGCCCAAGAACATGTTACACCTTTTGGCGTCTGCTCAGTGCAGTTATCTCATTTGGTCGTCCGACATCCTGAGGCGGTACTCTCCCATTTCTAGGAGAAAAGTGCCTGGGGCCCTGAGAAAAGTAGCTTGTGCCAATGCACCAGCTCTTCTCCGAGTCTGTCTTTTCTGAGACAGGTCCTTCCACAGCCCCAGCTGCACCTTCTCCCCCATCCCTGGCCCCCCACCTGTTGCACCCACTCTTTGCTGCCAGTCGGGACAGCCTTAACACCTCCATCCTGGTGGCCAGACAGCAGAGAGGGGGAGCAAGGGGTGACAGAGGCAGTGGAAGCGAGCGCTCCTAGCCAAGCCCACCGCCTGCCCCCTGGAGGGAGGCTCCTCCTTTTAAGGCTGCTTCTGGGAATTTCCACCCCCAGAGCCAGACTCAGCAACCCCTGGCCCGGAATGATACCTGCGCTCTCCCTTGGGGAGGTGGGGCACCAGACCTGAGGGCAGGGGAAGCTGGCCCTGAGAGGGGAGGAGGGGCCCTGCGGTCCAGGTCTGAGGATCAGGGAAAACGGGGGAGACCACAGGGGCCAGCCTCCTTATCCAGCAGCTCCATCCTCTGTGCTCGGGTAACCCAGCAAGAGGCTGGCGGCCCCGCCGGTGGCTGCTTTGCTGGCTCACTGGCCAGGAAGGTGGACACCTCACACCTCAGTCTCCCAATTGCGCCCTCCTCCCCCACTCCTCCTCCCCTCCCCTCGCTCTCCTCCTCCTCCCCTCTCTCTCCTCCTCTCCCCCCTGAAAACCTGTGGCTTGAAGAGACCTTGGCTTCTCTGGGACTCTACCCCTGGGGACTGCCCATATCTGCTCCTGAGTTTGGGGGCAGGGGGGCAACGGCCCCAAGAAATCTCTCCGGCGATGGGAGCCACCCGCCTGCTGCCCAACCTCACTCTGTAAGTGTACTGCCTCTCTGGACTGAAGTTTTGTCGCCATTTCCAGCCTGGGGCAGACCTAATCTTACCGGGACCCCCACACGGAGGGGCTGGGGGGGGGTGCCTGGGTGCTCGCCCTGGGTTGACGGCTGGCACCCACACCAGGGTCTGCCTTGTCTTCCCACACAGGTGCCTGCAGCTACTGATTCTCTGCTGTCAAACTCAGGTAGGCGGGCGCCCCCCCACCAACTTTTCCCCATCTCCCCCACCCCACCCAGCTGGGGTGGGGGTAGTCTCCTCTCCCGGCAGGTTCTGGCCTCTCCCTGGATACAGATGGTTTTTGAGGTTGGGGGGGTGGTGTCAGCCTTTGGAGGAGGGTAGAAGGGGCTAAGGCACATTTGGGGATTCACTGAGGTCTTTATCTGTCCTCCCTCCATGACCCTCCCTGTCCCTACTTGTCCTGGAGTCTCTGTTTCTCTCTCCTTACTGCCACACAGGTCCCCCCCCACACACACCCACACACAAGGCTAAATGCATGGGGCAGCCCAGGCTTGAGGGATGGAGTCTGAAGTGGTAGGGGAGAGGGCAGAGGTGCTGGCTCAGGTGAGGCTTGTACTTGGAGGTACCTGAAAACACAGGTTTCCATGCAAAACCACTTGTGCGTTCCACCTACTATCCCACGCCCCCCAACACGGATGTCCTGGGGGGCCGCTGTCCTGGGGGATTGCGTGGACAGTCAGAATGCCCAGCCAGGGCGGGGTGACTCCTTACCTACAGGGCAATGAGGTGAAGCCCAAAGAGGTTTTTTTGGGACAAGAGTCAGGGTTTGCATCTCCACACTCCCCCCACCCTATGTCAGCCCCCCATGCACACACCCCCCCCACCCCAAGCCTCAGCCCCCTGTGCAAGGCTTGGTCCCTTTTTGTGATCCTCCATAAAAGTGCAGCTATTAAAATGCACTGGTCCAGAACCGCTCTGGGGAGAGATCGCTTGGCTTTCCCAGGCCAGAGGCCCACTTCTCTTCATATCCAGTGGGGACTTTTTTTGAAGGTAAATGCCTTTTCTCTGGGAGAGGGAAAGGGGCTGCCTTTGAAGCAGTGGGGGGGTGGGAGAGAGAGAGACAACTCCCCCCCCCTTTTCCTTCCCCCTTTTGCTCTAGCCCCCGTTCCAGGCCTTTTGCTTCACACATCCAGGGAGAGCAAGAAGAAAGCCCCCAGCCTGGCTGGGAGGGGGCTGGGGGTGGGCCCAACCTGTTCTGGAAGGGGAATTAGCACAATGGTGAGGCTGGCCGGGGCGTTTATGGCCTGGCTGAGGCCCCATTCAGGACTCAGGGAAGGTGGCAAAGCTGTCCTTTCCCCCTTGAAGTGCCCCCTCACCCCCCTTGGAGGGGGGGCCGGCAGGCCGGACCATAGCCATGCTTGAGGGGCCGTCTGACAAGCAGCTGTCTGCAGCAGTGGAAGGGGAGGTCCCCCCGCAGCGGGAACATGAAAGGGACAGGCCAGGTCCCGCGGGGAGAGCGACTTGTGGGCTGTGGGGTTGTGGGGGGGGGCGTGGGGCTGCTTTTGTGCAGGGCCTGAAGGGGGACAAGGAGAGGAGGGGGCTTCAGGGAGGCCCTCTCTGCTCCTGACCTGGAACAGACAGCCAGAAGAAGGCTGCCCGCCAAGAGGGGCGGAGGGCCTGAACCTGGGCCAGGAGGCTGGGGGCTGGGGACAGGCCGGACCTCACCGAGGGTCCTGGGCCAGCCAGACCCCACCCCCTGGCAGGGAGGCAGGCCCCCACCCCAAATTCCAGGGTGGGGTGCGGGTCGCACTTCGCTGCCCTGAGTCTCCAGACCCTGCTCTCATAGGCAGGGGGGGGTCCTGGCAGCACTCCTGGCCAGTGGCTGAGCTGGAGTCGGAAATGAGCAGTGACACACACGAAGGGTTAACCCTGAGCGGGTTACAGGGTCAGCCTGGAGCCGTTCACTCACCGCCCCCTTCCTCAAAGCTGATCCTTCCGGCTCCGGCTCCTCCCTCTACAACACAGTGGCCTCTGACAGATGCTGATCAGGGTCCAGGTCTGTCTCGGTGGTTGTGACTGGGCCTGGGATAAAGGTGGCCTTAGGGATCTGGGGCAGAGAGAGTCTGGCCAGTAGGATCCGGTGGAGAGAGAAAGATTTGAGCCTAGGGCTGAAGCTGTCACCAGCAGCTGAGAAAAGGCATGGTAAGGTTTGCACCTAACTGGAGAGAGAGGGCAGGAAGTGGTCTGTTTTTTTCCCCGCTCAGTGTTGCAGATAGGTAAGGAGAGACTGGGCCTGGGGACGGTACTCGGCCAGGCTTGGCAGCACGCACGGTGGAACCCGGGAAGCAGGCAGCGGGCTGCAACATCGCCCCCACTGGCCACGAGCCTCTGTTACATTGTGGCACAGGCAGGCCAGAGCCTCCCGGGGGCGCCCCTGGGCCACCGGCCCCTAGCGCCTCTTCCTGCTGCAGCCTCCACCTCCCTCACCCCTAGAGGAGGGAGGAACACTGAACCGGGGACGGGCTTCTCTGAGAGCCCTGAGCACCCAGGGGCAGGGGCAGGGGAGGCGGGCAGGAGCTCAGGATTCCACAGTTAGTGCTGAAATTGGGTTCCTTCTAGCAACCAGAGTCACGACTCCAGGTCTGCACTAGATCACCAGGTGTCTCCCAAGCCTGGCAGATGGAGAGCCGAGAGGTCACAAGAGGCTCACCCACTGGCCTGGGAAGATCATATGTCACCTTGCCCTGCACCTCTGCTTCCCAGGACCAATGGCCTGCCCGCATCACACTCACCTCCACGCCCCGCTCCCCTGGATGGACCACTGATGGTGTCACCCAAAGCAAATTGACACTATTTTTCCCTTGGTAACCGCAAAGGGGGAGAATCACCCGTCTCCTAATTTTAACCAGTACGTGAGGGACCAGGGCGCCATGACCGACCAGCTGAGCCGGCGGCAGATCCGCGAGTACCAGCTCTACAGCCGGACCAGTGGCAAGCACGTGCAGGTCACCGGGCGTCGCATCTCTGCCACCGCGGAGGACGGCAACAAGTTCGGTGAGACCCAGCCCTTGCCAGAGGCCACTCACACCCCTGGCCTGCCTAACCTGGTCTCTCCCCAGATCCTGTGCCAGGGTAGGGGCCCAAGTGTGAGAGCCTCCCGGTGCCCCCCGCCCAAGCTCGGGGGTCAGGCTGGTTGGGGGGCCCCCTGCCACACCCCTGAGCCGGGAACCCCCATGGACAGAGGTCTTTCTCCCCCTCCCCCATCGCAGCCAAACTCATAGTGGAGACGGACACCTTTGGAAGCCGTGTGCGCATCAAGGGTGCTGAGAGTGAGAAATACATCTGCATGAACAAGAGGGGCAAGCTCATTGGAAAGGTGAGAGCTGGAAGGAGGGCGAGTGGATGAATGAACCAATCTTACTACTGCCTGCCCCACAGCACCCCACTCCCCTCTACTGGGCCCAAGCCAGGACCACTTCTACTCACACCCCAACACTCAGCCACTCTCTGGTTTCTCCATTTAAATGAGTCGCTGTGGGTCTAGAAGCCCTCCGAGAACACTTACTGATCCATAAGTCTCTTCGGCTCTGATTTACGGGCTATGTCCCAACATCAATCAGTCAGGATTTTAGCACCTACATGAGATTGCAGCCTCCATGTTGAGGGTTAAGTGTTGATCAGGGCTGAGAGTGGGCACTCATACACGGCCACAAGCTCCCCAAGGTCAGTGGGGTCCACAGGATCCCTCCAGGAAGATGCACACTGTCTACGAAACTGCCTGCTAGTGTAACCTCTCCACAATGGCAGGCCCAGCACTGTTGTGCAGGGAGAATTCCATTTCCTTTAGCATTTGTCAATCCTGGCTTCTGATTCTGGCTGTTCTCACCAAGTATTTGCTGATTTTTGTCAAGCCTCTGGCTTCTTGTCTATAAAAATGGGCATAGTGTCAAGGCTATGGATAAGGTCAGATGGGTGGCGGTGTGGCTCCTGACATTGTCTTTATTCTATAAACATTTGCCCTTCTTTTCATCAGAGACTGTTGCCTCCTTTCCTCCACCCAGCAGTTACCATTCGCCCACGCTGAGGAGTGTTCTCATGTGCTGAGTGCCCACTGAGTACGCACTGCAGAATAATCTGGATCTTTATGCCACGTCTGGGGAAACAGGCTCAGCATGGCTAAACACCGTGCTCAAGGTGTACAACTTGCAAATGACAAGCCTGTATTTAAGTTCAGATCTGACTCCCAGCAAAGCTTGTTCCTTTCTCCCACTTTTGCCTCTCCAACAAGGGCACCTGTCTCACCTCACCGGGCAGAAGTCCTTGGGCACACAGCCCCCATCACTCCCTCCTTTGTCCTACAAGATAGGCCCAAAAGGCTGACAAGCCAGACAGGTTGGGTGGACAAACTCCCCTCCTCTCCCTCCTTCCCTCTGCAGCCCAGCGGGAAGAGCAAAGACTGTGTGTTCACGGAGATTGTGCTGGAGAACAACTACACGGCCTTCCAGAATGCCCGGCACGAGGGATGGTTCATGGCCTTCACGAGGCAGGGTCGGCCCCGCCAGGCTTCTCGCAGCCGCCAGAACCAACGAGAGGCTCACTTCATCAAGCGCCTCTACCAGGGCCAGCTGCCCTTCCCCAACCACGCAGAGAGGCAGAAGCAGTTCGAGTTCGTGGGCTCAGCCCCCACCCGCCGGACCAAGCGCACACGGAGGCCACAGCCCCTGACGTAGTGGGGGACACTGGGGGCAGCCGCCCCTCACCAGCCTTCCCATCCCCTTCCCTTCCTGATCCCAAGACTGGGCTGGGGTGGAGGGAGGGGAACCAGAGCCCCCAAGGAGGACCCTGAGGACCACCAAGCATCGGAGCCTCCAGCCGGAAAGGGGCGGGACTGCCACAAACCAGGGCTGGGGCCTCAGGGCAGCCGCCCCAGACACCCCCCAGCCCCCCACCCTCCCAACCCCGCACCGGAATAGGCCCCGGGGGTGGGGCAGACCCCCAGGCGGGGAACTGTAGTGTTCCCCTGGACGCAGGCTCCCTGAAACAGGTGGAAAGGGCAGCAGATTCAAGGCCTTGCAGACACTGTCTGGAGGTGGCTCTCTTTAAACTCTGCTTGCGGAGACTTCCTCAGTCTGCCCCCAGCCTCCAAATTCCTCCTGGCCAGACTGTAGGAAGGGACTTTTGTGTTTGTTTCAGGAAAAAAGAAAAAGGAAGAGAAAAAAAAAGAGGGATGGCCATTCTTCACATTCCACTACCCAGGCCTGCACCCCCATCCCCAATTTCGAGCCCCAGAATAAAACCATTTTCCTGCAAACGGGTTATCTGAAGGCGGGGTGGACAATCCAACTCCCAAACTGCGGGGTAACAAACTTGCCTCTCCGAGAGGCGCGGAGCAGAGCCCGGGCGAGCCGTGGGAGCCCAGTGGCCCCGGGCCGGGCGTGGCCCAGCAGGTGGATGGGGCGGCGCGCGGGACGCGGGGGGCAGCGCCGCCCGCAGGGGAAGCGGGGCGTGGGTGGCCCCGGGAAGGCCCCGCACCTCCGCCCGGCGCGAGGCTGGCGGCCCGGGGCGGGTCTAGGCCCCGGGATCGGCGGGCGCGCCCCTCCCTCCGCGCGGGCTCCGGTTTCCTGGCTGGCACAGCGCGTCCCGTGCTACCTGTTGGGGCGAAGCAAACCCAAACCCTTGGGCGGGCGAGCCGCCGGGGCCGGGGCCGGGGCAGCAGGCCCGAGAGCCCGGCGCGGCACCCGGGCGGCCCGCGGACGCCGCAGCCTCCTCGCCGGTAGCCAGATTGCCGTTTTCCGGTGAGGATGGGGGGGGGGGGCAAGGGGATGGGGGAGGAGGGCTCGGCCGAGCGGAAGGGGGAGTGAGGGCGAGAATGCGCCCTCTTGTTCCCCAGGTCCCCGCGGGGGGGCGGGGGCGGGGGCCACACCTGAGGGGAAGTCGCAATTAGAGCGCGGCCCAGGGGGAGGGGGCGCCGCGGCGGGCGGAGGGGAACGGCGCCCCCCTCCCCCGCCCGGGCTTCTCGGGTGGGCTTTCCCAGACGCCTCCAGGTGTGCTTTTGGGGACTGGAACTAAGAGGCCATAAAAGCCGCCTCTTTCCTCATCTGCGCTGGCTTTTAATCTTGTTGAGGGGAAAGCCCTTCCTAGCAGGGCTCCCCGCCCAAAACCAATCTTCTGTTGTTGGACCCCCAGCCTCAGTTTCCCCTTCCTCTGCTTTCTGGGAAGCTGTTGGAGGGAAGTATTATGGAGAGAGAGGAAAAAGGATGAATAGACCTCCCTTCTCCCCACTTTTCCCAAGAATGGCCTAAAAATAAGGACCGATTGGGAAGTTGGGGAGGAGCCCGGTTTAGTCAAAATGGGAGGTGGGTGAAGCAGCCGTCCAAGTCGGTGGGGATTGGGGATCCCTCGCCTCTCCTTTGGTGAGGACTGGAGCAGTCTGACACCCCCAACTCTGAGCAGTTTAGAAGGCACAGCCAAGAGGGAGGTCCCCCAGGCCCCAGGACAGACATTTTCCCCCAGCTTGTCATAATTGCTTTGCACCAGGTTGCCCCCCCCATCACAAAGAGCCTTAATCCTGGTGAAGACTGCGGGAGCTGTGTTGGGGGTCGTTTTCTGGGGGTTGGGGGGTAGGGAGGGTGGTCCAGAGCCACAGCTGATAACTGGTGAGTTCAATGGGTTTTTAAACACAGGGGCACCGCCCAGCAATTACCTGAGGACAAAGGGTTGGGGCCCCCAGGTGTGGAGGTCTGGACTTGGGGGGCAGGGGTAGGAGGCTGGGAAGGAGGTGTGTTGGGGAGGGGGGCTCTTACAATCCTGCTGATTTCCGCAGGAATTTAAGACATTCTTTAAAACTCTAGCCTGCCTCCCCCCAGCCGGGCTCTCAGACCCACCCCACCATCCCTGGCTGGGTTAGAGACAGCTTCAAAGGTGGACGGGGGCCCTTTGTCTTGCCTCTGCTTTCTTCTCCGCCTTTCTCCCGCCTCTCCCTCCCTCTCTTTGACCTCCCCAGCACAGACAGGCCTCTGGGGGCCGGCTCCAGAAAGCCCTCACTGTTTTCCTTTCTTGCTTTCTGAGGTGAGACCTGGTGAGGAGGGACTGAGAGTGGGCAGGGTGAGGGAGGAAGGCGGCCTCGGAGGCCTGTGCCATCTCAGAGTGCCTTGCCCTGCCCTGAGCCCCGAGCCTGGCACGTCTGACGCCTGCTGGTGGCCTTGGGTCTCTGGCTTGGCTCTCTGAACCTTCTTACCACACCTTTTGGTGCCTCTGCCAAGTCCAGGCTCCATACCCAGGGGGTCTCTTCATACTCTGGGGAAGTCTGTTCAGTTCATTCGCCTAAACTGGGGCTGATTTCAAAGATGCTGAACGGAAGAGGTCAAAGGAATGGATCTCTGAAAATGGGGTCTCAAGGGATTTAACATGGGTGGGGGAGGGAGAAGGCTTCCTTGAAGACCTTAGATCACCCCGCAGCTGGCTACAGCAACCCTGGCTGTCTCTGTGTGCCGGAAGGTTCTAAGCAAGTGCGCAGATGGGGTGGACACCGTGGGGGAAGACTTGGGGCAAGACGAGCGCATCCATCTCTGGGAGGATGTGACAAAGTGGAGGGAGGCGGCAGCAGGTACCTCAGATCCTGTGCTGTTTAGGATCACCAAGACCTCCAGCCTTATAAGAATAGCCTGCATATTGATCTCCCCTCCTCTGTCCTGTCCTCCAACAGCCAGATGAGGCAGAGGGGGAAATCCACTCACTTTCTAGTCCCTGCAAGCTGGCTTCTATTAAAGTCACTCTACTGAGCCCTGTCCCTCATACTGCAGTGGCCAGTGAGCTCCCTGGCTTCAGACCTGGGCGTCCTCAGCCTCACAGCCCTGGACTCCATGAAGGACCACCCCTTTTTGAAGCTCTGTCCTACCTCTTCATTCTCTGTTGCTGGGACCCTTCTCTTCCCTGGCTCCTCTTCATAGAAACATCCCCTAAGATTTCTACCTTTCTCTTCTGGCCTTGTTCTTCCTGCTGAGTCTCTCCTAGCAATGCAGCACGTCAGCTGTCACCCCCTGGCACACCACTGCTTTCTCTCCCACATTCGGAAACTCTGCACCGTTTCCAGACCTCGCTGGGGTCTGTCTCAGTTACTACAGTAGCTTTCCAAGTCATGTCTCTGCCTCCCGACACCCCTACCCCCTCCAGGACATCACACGGTTCGCTCACCCTACCCCACCCTAAGCCACAGCTCTGCCCGCGTTGTGTGATCACCAGTGGACTCCTTAGCTCCTGTACAATCCCGCTTACCCTTCCTTCCCAGCCCTGTCCCTACAAGTCCCCTCCCGGAGCTCTGGCAAAACAGCAGCCCTTGCCATCTGGCCAGCACCTTGTGCCCATCTTTGATCATGAGGTTCCTAGTATCCAGTATGCCTTGCTGCAGAACACTCACACGCCCAGACCGCTGCTGTCTTCTCTGCTCTGTAGACTTGCCTCCTCTCTTGGACTAGCGGTCATCTCTGGTGCCATGGGGCTCTCTGGCCGCCCACTTGCCCTTGACTTATGGCACACATCACTGTACTTATTCGTGCTTGTGGAATGGTTGTGCTACAAATCAAGTGCCTCAGATGTAGAAGTAGTCCGTCTTTGCCTCCCCCATAGTACCCAGCACGGGACATTACACAGAGTAAGTATTTACTGAGGAAATTAAACCAACTGAAGGTCCAGAAAGAAGTCCTTGGCCCAGCACCCTGCAGTCCCTCGAGATGGAGGCAGAATGAGAACGAGAATCCTGCCTCCACCCTCCATCCTTAGGTGGACTTAGACAGGGATGGGTCCTAAGCACTTAATCCACAGACTTATTTGTTCCCTACAATGTACACGCACTGTGCTAGCCCTTCAGTTGACAAAAAAGATGGACAAGATATTGTATCATCCCCTGTCAAGATCTCCAGACACTTGAAACTTAAGGACTTTTGGAAATCTCTCTCTCACACCTAAGAAGGTAGCAAAGTGGCATTTGGTACATCCCAAAAGAGGAAAAAAGGAGATAGGAGCTATTGGAAACAAGGACACTAATGTGTACAGAACTCCAGAGATGTGCCAGGCAGCATGTGAGAAATACTCACATATAACCCCTTATTCAGGGGGTAAGATTATTCCCACATCACGTGTGGGCGAGCTCAGACTCGGGAGATATTAACTCATCCGTGGTCGCAGCTAGTGAGCATTACAGTCTAGATTCTTGCCTGTCTTCATCACCTGAGTGGGATGTTCTCCACTTCCGGCCAGGCATGGTGGTTTCTGGGATGGGAGAGTACATGGGGCCAGAGCATTGGGAAAGGCTGGGGTTTGCATGATCTTTAAGGATGAGCAGGATTTCAGGGGCACTTGGGTGGCTCAGTCGGTTAAGTGTCCAACTCTTGATTTCGGCTCAGGTCATGATCTCAGGGTCTTGAGATCCGCATCAGGCTCCAAGCTTAGTGGGGAGTCCGCTTGAGATTCTCTCTCTCTCCCTCTGCCCCTCCCCCACCTCTAAACAAATAAAAGAATGAGCAGGATTCCAGTCCGCAGACAAGACATGCAAGGGAAAATACTAAGAGGGAAAACAGCATGAGAAAAAAGGCTTTGAGGCAGGAAGATGTGAGGTGTGTTCAGGGGAAGGTGAGCAGTCCATAGGTTTGGCTAGAATTGTAAGTTTGCCTGGAGAACTGGCAGGAAAAGATTGGGTCACACTAGGGAAAGTTTTGTGGTAGCAGGAGCTTTGAGAAGGAGAGTGATCATGCAGTTGTGGGTTGGGGATTCGGGGAGAGGCTGGTCTTGTGGCAGCATGCTGGGGGCTGAGGCTCTGGGGTCCCTGAGACAGAGGGTCCAGTGTACAGAGGTGGGGGGGTACGTGACTTCTAAACTCTTGAGAAAGGGTCACTTCTAGGCCCTCATCCTTTCTTTTATTCCTGTGGCCCAGTTGTCACCTTTCCCTTCTCCTTAGGTGCCTAGGCACCCTTAGTCACCCTCCCCAGGAGTTAATGTTTAGATGGCCCAGGCATAGGGGGAGAGTCCCGGGTGCTCCCGGTCCCAGCCAGTTGGTGCATGGGGCGGGGCGGGGGGCAATGGAGTGAGACCGAGAGAGAAGAGCAGCCCATTGCACAGGCCTTGCCGAGGCGGCTGGCGGCGGGGCCAGAGTCCAGTCAAGACATCTGGCACCAGTGGTCTTGCTGCAGAAAGGAGCCGAGAACTAGGTGTGAGGGGCCTGGGATTGCCTTCCTGAGAGGGGCAGGCGCGCCAGCCCCTATTGTGGACACAAGGGGCCCTCCTCAAGGCCTCAAGGCACTTCTGAGCTTACAGGTACACTAGCCCCCTCAGCAGCTGGGTACGGCCGAGCCGCGCCCGGGAAGCCTACCCCGGGGCCTGGACAACAGGCACTGGTGTTCAGTGTTGCCTGCTTCTGGGGGAAACTTTTTGCCTCCCCTCTTCCCAGCCTGAAGGGGAGGCAGGCAAGTGACGGGGGAGGATGATCCACTGGCCCTGAGGAGTCTGGGGCCTTCTCAGGGGAAAGGGCTGGTGGGCAGAACAAGTCTCACTGTCGGGCAAGACGGGAGGGGAAGAAGAGGTGGAGCGTGGCAGGTGAGAGAAGGGTCTCCTGGCCTGGCTGTACCCTCGCCGTGGGCACCGACACACACACACACACGACACACACACACACGCCGTGGGCACCGACACACACACACACACACACACGCCGTGGGCACCGACACACACACACCTCCACACACACA